ACTTCGGGGACCCGGCCGCGGTCCTCCCGGGGGCCTCCTTCCCGGCTCCCCGCGCCACTTCCCGCGGGGGCCGCGGACGGGCCCTCCCGGCGAGGAGGGTCCCCCAGCTGCCCCCGAGTTCGAGGAGCCGCCAGCGGGGCGGCCGCTCAAACTTTAACTCTGACCAGGTCCTGACTTTTTATGCAGTTCTTGAAGGTCAAGACTAGGGAATCTTGTTCTTTGCTTTGTCTTTTTTTTTTTTTTCCCCTTATTTTTTTAAAAAAACTTTTTACTGGAGTGAAACATTCATACTGGACAGGGTACCTTTGCTTTATTTTTAATTGAATTTCGATCTTGCTCTCGGCGCTAGCAACCAAGTCACTCTATCTCTTTGTGGAAACTGCTTTTTAGTAAATGCTGCAAAAGTTTTAGGTGGCAGGCAGACGGCTGTGCCTGGCGCCCTGTTTCCTCCAGCCGGATTAGCAGGACCGCTGGAGAGGGATGCTGAGCTCTGCAGGAGCTCCGCAGGCTTTGGACGTGGCCTCCTGGCCACAGGTGAATGGCAGGTTTCGGGCTTTTCCGATTCGTCGCTTTGCTTCAGCGATCGCAGAATCCGGAGTTGCGGTGGCTTCTGCGGAGTTCAGCCCTTCGTGGAAGTTGTGCTTGCTCCTCTCACTGAAGCGGGATCGGTGTGCCAGTCCTCGGTGTTTTCTTACGGCTGTATTTGTTCAAACAAACAACTCTGTTTTTATAAGATCTGTGCAGTGGAGTGATGACAAAGTTTTGTTTGCAACAGGCACCACGTTGTTGGCTGTCCCCCCTCTTTGTGTCCTGGGAGGACCCCTAAACTTTTAACATACTGGACAGACATAATTTATTGTAATTGGGTTTAGGTGGTTTGGGATATTTTGCCCTGGCCGGATTCAAGGAATTTCAAAGGACTCATAGCATCTTGTATCTTATTTTTGTTCAGTACCTGGCAATGAAGTCATTTGTGAGGTGAACGCCCGATATGAAAAGGTCTGCTGTGGTTAAGGGTGAAGGATTTTGGTATTAGGATCTTTATTTTGTGAATTTACAATTGTCTGTCTTGAAATAACTTTTGTAGGTTGTCTGAATTTTTTCCTGAAAAGAGGAGCAAGAGAACAAGTGTTGGTTGTTGTATTATGTTTTTTCCTTAAAGATGGGTGTTGTATCCTTTGGGGTTTCTTTAAAATGTAGGGAGGATTTCTTTCTCCCAACTGCATACAAAATCATCAGAAATCTTAAGTTATATGACTCTTGAGAATAAATACAGTAGTATAGTTCTTTTGCTTACCTACTGGTAAGTCAAACTAGATTTTTTTTTTTTTTTTGCTATAGGGTGTATGTGTTTGCCAGAGAGAGAGAGAGAGAGAGAGAGAGAGAGAAATGGCCACACTGCAGTCCCTTTGCCAGAAAGAAGTAGGGGGGATGGCCTCACTGCAGTCCCTTCTCCATTCTCCTCTTGAGATTTTGGGCAGTATGCAGACTGGAATCTTTTTAAAAAGATTTATTTAATTTTATTTCTTCTTATTACTATTACTGTTATTTTAAAATTTGCTGTAGGACATACATGCTCATGAAAGACAGAGAGACATCAGATCTGGGACTCAAACCATAGTCAGTCATGTGGAAGTCCAGCGTCTTTAACCACCACCCCACCTGCTGGTCCGCACACTGGAATCCTAACACCCAGCATGGTGTAGCTGACTATGCACCAGCTTCAAAGTCAGATTGTTTGGCCAACATACTTTTAGTGACCACAGGCACTTAGATATTCTTAAAATGATTTGTCCTTCAGTTTTACCATCTGTAAAATGTAGTTGATATTAGTACCCAGCTCTAGAGTTACTGTTTATGAAGGAAGTGATTATTACAGTGTCTAGCTTGAAATAAGTACTAGATAAAAGCTTTCTTGAATTTGCAATCTTGGTTAAACCAGATGTTTTTATGCACGTAGTACCTAAAATTATTAAACAGTTTTTCATAAGATAGCCTCATATATGTGCTTTTTTATATTGTAATATTTTGGGTACATGAAAATCTATTTTCTCAAATCTATTTCTTTAGCTTTTAGTATGCTTGGATTTTCATTCCAATCTGAGTGAGGGTTTTTTAAAAATATTTTTTATTGCATTTAATCACATATTTCTTTTTCCAGCACGAACACCACTCATATCAGTCAAGACAAAGACATTACTATATTTATTATCAGCAAATAGCTTCTCATTTTTTGTCAATTAAATGTACTTTTACTTTTTTTTGAGAGAGAGATTTTTGCTATAGGGGGTGTGCACTTGCTGGAGAGACAGAGAGACAGAGAGATAGAAAGCTAGAAATCACAACCCCCTTGGTGGGGGGGATGGCCACACCACAATCCCTTCTCTTCCAGTCTTCTCTCGGGGATTTTGTGCATGTGAGCACAGGCACTCAGCATGAGTTTTAAGGCATGAGGTCCAGGACTTGAACCACTGTCGAGTACATGGGAGTCCAGCAATATAACCATTACTTCATCTGCTAGTTCCCTGAGTTTTACTGTATTTTATTTGAAAAATTCTAACAAATTTACGTAGAAAAGTATTATGCTTAATATGAAAAAAGAAAAAAAGAGTGGGGCCAGAGGTGGCGTGGTGGTTGAGGTGCTGGATGACTCTGCGGTTCAAGTCCTGGACCCGCAGGTGTGCGTGCCCAAAATCCTGAGAGGAGAATGGAGGAGGGGGCTTGTTGTGTGGCTATCCACTCCCCCCCCCACACTGAGTTTTCACTTTCCCTCTCTGGTGCACTCAGTGCCTTGTGGGAAAAAACTTAAAAAACAAGCAAACAAAAAAAATGACATAACAAAATTTACCATTTTAACCCTTTGTAAGTGTACTGCAGTTCTTATGCATATTACTTGTTTCATTTTTAAAGGCATTCCAAAGATAACTTTGCTGTTTAGATTGCATTCGGTTTAAAATGTGCAAATAAATTGTGTTCATGTGTTTTCTCACCAGATGGTACAGAATCAAGTGGTTTTCTTTTATGTGGGTCATGAAGTGATAATTGGACTTGAAACCAGAATGGAAGATGCATTTTAGTAAGCTGTCTAAAAATAAGCAGTCATGCTAGAGATTCACAATAGAGTTAATGATAGGTTACTGCCGAAATGGGGGTGATAATTACTCTTATTTTCGGATACCTGCCATGGTTAGTCTCTCTGGTTCTGTGATAGTTCAGCAAACTAACTCGTCTTTCATACTTGCCACGTTCTTACTTTTCTTCACTAAGAAAGGGGCTATTTGCTCTTTGGGAGTGTAGCTTTTTAGTGACCCACTAAATGATGACATCTGGTAGCACAGTATTGTCAGTACATTTGTATTGATTATCAAATACATTGTATTTGCTTATCAAATAAAGATGGGAATTATTAAAAGAAAAACTCTCGGTCATTTGGAAAGTATGTTAATTATCTTTTAGCCATGACTTTCACTATGTGAAGTGTTATATTTAAACAGAAATATACTTTTATGAAAGAGGTAACTCTTAAAAAGGCATTTATTGCTGTTTTCAGGTACTAGTTTTATAAAATTTTCTCTTTGTTTCTAAAATGGTAAATTAAGAAAATTTACTAGGGACAGCAGATAGTGTGGTGGTTAAGGCGCTGGACTCCAACATCGCTGACCATGGTTTGAGTGTAGACTTGATGGCTTGAAAATCATGTGTGTGTGTCTGTGTGTGTGTGCGTGTGTGCGTGTGTGCCCAAAATCCTAAGAGGAGAAAGGAGAAGAAGCTATAGCAACATGACCATCCTCGCCCACCCCAGGGGGATGTTTCTCACTTTCTTTTGTTCTGTCTCTCTCTCTGGTGAGCACACACGCCCTTTGCCAAAAACTTTGAAAACAAAAGAAAATCTACCTATAAAACTACACACAGTGTTTGGCAGGGCCACATGGAAGGCCAGAGGGCATTTATTTGCCTAGTTAGTTAATAGTAGGAGATGTAATATAGCTGGCATATCTGTCCAACTTAAGGGGGACATGTTCGTATCTGTGCTGCCCAGGATGCTCGTTACCAGCCCTCTGTGCTATGGCACTTGAAGTGTGGCTAATGGATCAGAGGAACTTAAAAAAATTAATTGTATTTAAAACCACATGTGCCTAGTGGCTCTGGTATTGATAGTGCAGTCCTATTAGATCTCATATGTGACGTTATACAGACAGTGTTTTCAAGAATATAATAGCTTCGGGACCAGCAATTAGCGTAATGGCTATGTCACTGGACTCCCATGTAGTCGACCACGGTTCAAGTCCCGGACTTGGCGGCTTAAACTCACGCCGGACGTGTGTGTGTGCGCGCATGTGCCCAAGATCCCAAGAGGAGAATGGAGGAGAAGGTATTGCGGTGTGGCCATCCCCTCTGGGGAGTGAATTCTTGCTTTCTATCTCTCTGTCTCTGTCTTTCTGGCGAGTGCATGCACCCTATAGCGAAAACCTCTCAAAAAAAAAAAAAAAAAAGAATATAATAGCTTCAACTAAAAAGCTCAGTTGAACTGATCGTGGTTTAATTTTAAAATTTATAATGTTTTTATCTCTCACTGCTGCAGAGGCATTATAATTATTTCTAGTTATTTTCTTTTTTAAAAATTATTTTATTTTAACTTTATTTATTATTATTATCATTATTATTTTCCAGTTTGATCAGAGAGAGACAGAGAGAGAGAGAGAGAGAGAGAGAGAGAGAGAGAGAGAGAAAGTGAGAAAGCAAGCCACCAGGTCTGAGACTTGAACCGTGGTTGGCCATGTGGGAGTCCAGCGCCTTTAACCACCATGCCACTTGCCGGCCCCTCTTGTTATTTTCTGACACTATAAAACAAAATGTGATTGTGCTTCTGTATTTAGGAGTCAAGGACAAAAA